GTTTCTTGTTAATCGTTAACGTTGACTTCTACAAAAGGGTGGGGCACAAGCAGTCTCTTTTATAATCAGGAGAGGGGCCTAATGACCATCAGCTGAGCGTAATCACCTCTTGTAATTACGGCATTGTTCTTGACGCCGAGTAGCCCTTCGACGGCGTGCATCCCGAAACAACTTACAGGTGTTTTCTGGATCACTCACTCTTGTCTCCTCCCCACTGATCCAAGGCTCAGACGCCACCTGGTGGCCAACCAGTCTCTCCTCGCCCTGCTTGGAGTCAGAACCCTGTCCAGGGTCCTCCACCTCCTCCAGGGCTGACTCATAAGACCCCTCGCTGTCGGAGTCTGGCGGCAGCTTCAACGTCTCCTGCCGGGCCACAACAGTTCACTATGAGTTCATTGTGGCAAATGGCTTATTTAACTTTTTGGGATTGGTGGGATTATTTAAAGACCAGTAACCATTCCAGTGACTTTCCTAAAGCCAAAGAAATACTTGGATTATTAGATTAGGTTATTAATTATAATAATTAAGATAATACAATATAATGCAGTTTAGCAAATGATGTATTTCACAAATAAGGTTTCAGAATGCTCCTAATCATGTGAGATGCTTAGGTCTCATGACTTTTTTCATCCCTAAATGTAAAATCTTATTACATTATTATAAAACAATTCACTAGAATATATTATAATTGCAGTTTTGGTTTTCCCTAAGCAAAGTTTTCTATAATGATAAAATACTGTTTTATATATCTCTGTAATGACAAAGTTGGAGGTGCTTGGAAAGATATCAAATTTCACCTACGTATTGTCTTCTTTCTTCCTTTGATTTTAGAACTAGATGAATCCACCGTGTTTGTACTTGGAGCAGTATTGTACAAAAATTTAGAGCTTATTTTGCCTACCTTAAGGTAAGTGATAACTGTAAGGGACAGTTCAAATCAGGGGTGAAATTCAGTAGGTTCTTACAGGTTCTGGAGAACCGGTAGCGGAAATTTTGAGTAGTCCGTAGAACTGGCAAATACTACCTTTTGCTGGCCCCAGAGTGAGGTGGGAATGGAGATTTTGCAATATCCTTTCCCCAGGAGTGGGGAGGGAATGGGAATTTTGCAGTATCCTTCCCCTGGATGTGTCCTGTAGAAACAGGCAGGAATGAAATATAAGACTTTCTTCCTTATTTTTGTCTGAAGAAGGAACAACTAACCTGTTTCGAGTCCTATATCAAGTGTGTTGTATGCTTTCCTTGATTTTCCCATTGACCTTCAATAGCAGAACTGAAGAATAATTTCTCCAGTTTTGTTTTCCTAGGTCTGGCAACAGGGTGGACTGAAGAAGCATAGTGAGGCAACAACATTCGGACATCTAGAACAGATGATATTTTTGTGTGTGTGTCTTCAATTTCTGCAATCCCTTATCTTTAGCCAAATTGGCAAGGATTTTTGATATTTGATGTCCAAATCACTTGGATCACATAAGATTGCGCTGCTCCCGCAGGCCGGGGGACTTGTGAAACATCCAGCCCCACGGAAATTGTGAATGTTGTGTTTTTTAAAGTGTTGTCTTTGTCTTTGTCTATTTATCCCCTTTCCCTGTCTATTGTGAGCCGCCCGGAGTCCTTCGGGAGTGGGCGGCATACAAGACAAATCAAATCAAATCAAATCAAATCAATACTATCTGGAGGAGTCAGCAAGAGATAAGACAGCAATGGGAGAAGGCAGAAGCTTGTAATAGGAAGAGGAGATACTCCTCATGGGTGAACCAAATGGCTTTCTTTAGCTCAATACAAGTAATGGGGAAGAAGAAAAGGGTGATCAGGGCTTTCTCTAATGAAAAGAGGAATGGTTAAGAATTAGGAGGAATGAGAGAATGAGTCTCTATGCGTATGTAGGAGAGAGAGAGAAAGGAAGAGCTGTAGAACAGTTTCAATCTGTCAGCTGAAATTAAAGCATACCAGTAAGTGTTAAGGCATAGTGTCTTAAGTGTAGATCGGTGTAGGTATTTATAGATGCAAACATGCTTTTATCTGTGCAACATAAGTGCTTCGATAATGACTAGATATTAACCTAAAGACAAAAAATAAAAAGACAGATGACGCCATTATTAGATAAGATATAGATATATTTCAACTCCACACATTTATTTCATACAAAAGCTACTAGATGTCCTAAGCATATTGAAGGGAGGGGAATCTACTCTCAGTGAGTAATAATAGTGCCTCTTCTTAAGTGCATTATTATGTAATTAGGCGCAATAAGTTATGTCAAGATTTAGTTACAGCTGAGTAAGTATAACTGAAAAGTTTGGCTTCTCACCTTGATGGAGAAAAACTGCAACCATTGGCTACTAGACATTTATCAAAAAAACGTTCCATAGAAATCAAAAGGAGATTTGTTCAGAGACTGACAGGGCAGTTTTGTTGTAGGGTTTAAAGGGATTAAAGATCTTTATTTGCCCACTAATTCTCCCATGGATTTTATCTTTCTACTGCTGCATTACTTACGAGCACTTAATAGAGAAGTTTACATATGAAGGAAATTCTACCAACAGTATAACTATTTTAACTCTTGGGGTATTGTATAGTGATTTAACAGCATTGCTGAAGGCAAATGGGTCTTCTGATTGGAAGTTTATCTCAAACCCCTCATATATCCTCCTACGTTCAATCAACAAGATGCAAATGTAATAAAAGAGAATGTAAAAAAAATTGTTTAAAATGTAAAGTTTACTCCATGATTCCAGGAGCATTTGAACATTTTGTATAAATGGGCGTATTTTCTCAGATTCTCTCTCTAGATCTTACAAGACAAAGTTGGTTTGATGCATGCTTTGCCTTCCAAATAAGTGCTTGTTAAATGTTCATTTAATTAATGGTAATTAATTAAATTAGTTATCAGGTACATAACAAGATTTAGTTAATGAGTTATACCAAATCAAGTTTGTCAAAAGGCCATCACTTTTCATCTATAAAAAACTCTCTGGTTCTGAAAAATTAACTTTTTTTAATATGTTAGTTTTGATAAAGATAAAGCAGCTTTTCATCCCACTGTGTTTATAGCATGATTCTTTCATGCACAGAAAGTCAGCTGTTCATAAGCTGTTTGTTGGATTTTCAGTATAATTGTCTGATTAATAACATACTTTGAGAAGTCAATGGCAGCTTCATCAAATGGTAATACCATGACAACAGTTTCCCTGTGCAAAACATTTTCTACACGTACAATTGTTGGCAGCATAGGATCAAGTACCAATTCTCTTCGGTGCACATGCATTTAATACACTGATTTTAGTGCCACAAAGAAAGATGAGGTGTACCCTCATCAAACAGGGAAAGATATTATACTGTCCTAATGTAGAAATTGGACCAGTGGTTCCCAACATGGGGCCATGTCCCACAGGGGGGCAATTTGATTTTTAATGGGGGCAATTTGAACCTTGTTTAAACCAAGTTAAAGGCCTTTTAGGGTTCCTCTGTGTGAGTAGAATTCACTTTTTGAGTAAAGGAAGAAGTATATGTCACAAGTGGGGGGGGAACATCAGGATTTTAGAGATGCTTAGGTGGGGCATGGACCAAAAAGCTGGGAACCACTGAACTGGATGCTTAAAGAAAGGTATTCTACCATTGCTTTCCTGTGCATGTTGAGGACTTTGGCTGGTGTTGTTTTGCAAATACCATCCATCTCAAAGGTGAAGCTGATTGCATGAACAAGAAAAGGTTTTGTTTTAGAAGTTGCATCCTAGCTATATAATCAGATTTGTCTGATTGTCATCTTATGGGGTTCTTGGGGCCATCTGAGCTTGTTTTATTGCAGATGATGTGACCTACTTTGATAATGGAAAAAAAAAAAAAACCAGCCAACCTCAGAACGCACCAAGGACCCCACAGTTCAGTCCTGAGCTACAAATATGTCTTCTATCGTTATCATTTTTATTGTCATATTGGCGTCATACAAAAACATTCATACCTGGATGTCTTTGTATTTTTTGATGAAATATCTTCCTCTTCTGGTCATCTTGATCTGTCTTCATTTGTATTCCCAATAATGTTTATTTTTTTAAAAACTTTTGTGGGTTTGGTTTTGATAAGTCTTGATAAATAAATTGCATTTTTAATCTTTCAAGAAAAAAAACTAAACCTCACACAGTATATATCTTAACATATTCCTTACCTAAATATAACCTATGCCCTTCATTTCCCTTAAGAAAAAGACACACTGAGTTTAATTATTTTCCTGCATAAATAATCACAATATTAGTCCTTCTTAAAAAGTGGCTTCTTTGGGCAGCAAAGAGTCCTTCATCACATCTCTGTGTGATTTTGTCAATAAGACTAATTTATCGGAGTGTGGCATAGCATAAATGTTCTTGCCAACACAGTATTGCTCTCTTTGATTTTGTTTTTGCGGTCAATCTAGATTTGTTTCCTGTTTGATGCCCTTTCATGCCAGAAGTATTTTGAAACATTTCATAAAGTCACAAACAATAAATAAACAAGATCTCTTCCAGAAAAACAACAACATTTTATTTAAAAGCAGACAATACTATTTTTTTGTATATTAGCATTCTATCCGTAGGGATATTAACTCAAAAGAAATTGTGATTATTCAGTTATAAGACTTGATATAATGCATAAATGCACATTTTTTTTTGTTTACTGAATTGGAACAAATGTGATAGAAGCTTTAAAGCTTAACTGGACAGTTTTACATCTTGAATAATACACAATATGAAATCTGTATGCGCAGGATTTCAATATGCTGTTGGGTATTTATCGTGAGCCTCTGTGGTGCATTGTAAGACAATTTCCACGCTGTAGAGAAAGATACAGGTTTAGTACTTAATAAAAATAAATAAAGCCAGCAGATGGCAGCACTTAGCCGACCTTAGGTCATCTAAAAAATAATAATATTAATAACTAGGAAAGATTGGGCCTTGATTAATACTTAGAAGGCTACAGAAACACTTCAGTAGGTGAATTTCATTTCTCAGTGGGGTTTTCAGATGCTGTTAAGTTTAGCAACACAAACCTTCCGTGAGGCAAAATGCTTGTTCTTAATTATCCAAGTTCCACATTTAAGCTGAAATATATAGCAAAAAGAAGTTCATCTTGCGTTTTTTTTTTCTTCATAAAAACACTGCATTAACTGTCAACTGGTAATTTTCGGGAAGCTCAGGAACCTGCCTTGTATTTTCCAGCTGAAAAGAAATTGTCCACTTGAGCTATACAAGTGACAGCTTTTAAATAAAACGTTGCTTCTAAAGATTCCATTGCGATATGGAAATTATCCATTGACTTTATCATAATGGAGTTCAGTTTCATAAGGTACACACAATTTATTGAATAGCCTTACTGCACAGGGAAGAGAACATCATTCCTGCGGTTAGGAATTTGGCAGAGGAGGTGAGGAATTTATAAAAAGCATCCTTATTTTTCTTTTACTCCAGTTCTCATGCCCAGTCCATTCATTTTTTAGTTCATATTGGAATCATATGCCTTGATTCTAGTTTTAGAAATTTATTAATTTAATCAATTTATATGCCTTCCCATCTTGCAAAGGTGACTTTCGTGGCTCATTAAAAAAATAAAAAGAAAACAGTGGAATAAAAATATCAATAAGGGTCAGTAAGAACGATAGAATCTCTCAACATATCCTCCATTTCAGTGGTGGGTTTCAAAAATTGTTCGAACCTACTCTGTGGGTGTGGTNTACAAATAATACAATACAATACAATACAATACAATACAATACATAACTTAGAGAAAAATCTCCTTAATCTACTCAGACTATTTGCATCTTCTTTCCTTATATGTCAAATAAAATATCAGCCATCTACTCTGAATAGTTAATGTGAAGGAAAATGAAGTTAGGTGCAATTGTGTTTTGCTCTCTAAAGGTGCTAATCAGAAGTAATAAAATGGTAATGATTGTTTTTCACATGGAAAAATAATCAAGAACGACTTGTACAATTCCAGATTTCTGCTTTTCTACTTCGTCCAAAAGGAAGCTGCAGGCTGCTAATATGTCAATCTATTTAATAGGGTTTCTGGGCAATGGATATAGGGGTTGTTACTGCTTCATTAGATTGGTTCTAGAAATTATACATCCTCATGCAGTTTATAACACTTTCTTCCTAATTCTGTCATTTTTGATCAGTTCAGAATCTGGTCTGAAAATACAGCTCTACTATCTCCTTCCATGTGAATCTCATGTCATGGAATAACAGGATGGAGAGTCCCTACTAAGATTCTGAATCTAGCCGACAAGTGAGAGAATAAAATTCACAGTGTTGCACTCACAGTCTATTAGTCATGCCTAAGCTTGTCATCTTTCTGGTTTTTACGCATACAAGAAATAATTCTATGTATTTGATGAGCCGACCTCTGAGTCCACCAACTTAGGATTGCAGTTTTTGTTCTTTTTAAATTTGAAATATGTTCCTATAAAACCAGTGGTGGGCTTCAAAAAAATTTCAATGTTGAACCTATTCTGTGGGTGTGGCCTCCTTTGTGGGAGTGGCTTGCCGGCCATGTGACCTGGTGGGAGTGGCTTGTCGGCCATGTGTTCTCTCTCTCTCTTTCCTTCCTTTTGTCTCTCTGTCCCTTTTTCCTTTTTTTCTTTCATCTCTCTCACTTTTTATTTCTTTTTTCTTTTTTATTTCTTTNTGAGCATGATAGTGTAGAATAATCATATCCAAGGACCAGTGGTGGGTTTCAAAAAATTTTGGAACCTCTTCTGTAGGTGTGGCCTGCTTTCCGGGTCCGCTGGTGGAACCTCTTCTAACAGTTTCGGTAGATTTGACGAACCGGCTCTACCGAATAGGTACGAACTGGTAGGAACCCACCTCTGTTCCATTTAGAAATATCAAAGAATGGACACTTTAAATATTTCTTCCTTTGTACTAAAGTCTCATTATCCTTCCTTCCTTTATGGGAAAGGTATCTTTTAGTAATGCCTACCTCTAAGCATCCAAGCAACGTAATATAATGGCCTGAGGGCAAACTAACTCAGATGACCTAGCAGGTCAAGACTATTCACCTTTAAAACTCCTTTAAAAGGGCTTGGCAATTGACACCTAGACCCAAAGCCAAAATCTCATATGTCTCCTATTGAATCTGATGACAATTAGGTCAAGTCCTGACCTTAGGAATCTTAGAGAGAAATACTTTGATCACAAGTGTAGTGTGAATTCACTGCTATTTGTTTTTGTTTTTAATACCGAAGTAGCTCATAGATGGCACAAAATTACATTCAAATCCCTCATGTTATTGATGAGAAAAACAGAGTCGGTTTTGAGGAAACTCAAAACATCTGGAACATCTCTCCCGCCCCCCTGTCATTCTTATGAATGTTTTTTCAATAGATATTCAGCAAAATGGCCATACCAGAGCTTTACAAAAAAATGTGCTTTCTCTAGAACAAATCTCAGGTTTACCAGAAGATTAATGAGTTTATAGGCTTGTGAATATTTATGTTGTGAATCGGGTTTTTTTTTTTTAAATCAATAAATTGTACTTAGAAAAAGGCACTTGGATCAGCAGGAAGGGTGTCCTTATTCCTGGATGTATTTGACAGCATTTTTATAATTTCTGTGGAGGAAAATTGATTTAAATTCCCTTTTAGCTAGCCATGTTTAAAAATCACAGTTTCTCTTTGCTTAATTACATCGACTTGTAGTTTTAGTGATTGTTGTGTTTTTAATTGTTGTTTTTTTTCCTTCAGAAATTATACAGTTATTAACTCCAAAATCATTGTGGTCACCATACGACCTGAACCCAGAACATCAGATTCCTTTCTAGAGATAGAATTAGCTCACCTGGCAAACGTAAGTATTTCTGCTTATTTTACAATTGGCTGAAGATTTTAAACAAATAACATAAAGAATTATTTTAACTCCAGTTAATTTTAGCTCACATGTTTTATTTTTTTCCATTGATTTTGTAGTCCGTGGCTACTTTTATGTAATTAGAAGCAGTATGTATGCAGTACGAACAGAAAGGACTCACTAAAATGACAAATTCATTTTATTTTAGATGCAAAAGCATGACGATTTCCATAGCACTGAATGCCTAAATAGTTCCCATGCATTGTTAAACTGCTCTTTATAAACTCTAGGAAATCTCCAATATGGTGTATTTATTTAATGTTTATTTCATTGACTAAAATATTTAAACTGCCCAATTCCAGAAGCTCTGTGGCATAGAGTTAAATATACTATAGGTAGAGTCTTTTATTAAGTTTATTAAGTGGCTGTTCAAAGTTACAACAGCACTGGGAAAAATAACTTATGACAATTTTCCACACTTAGCACCGTTGCAGTATTCTCATGGTTAGATGATCAAAATTCAGATGATTATCAAAATTCAGATGATTGGCAACTGACTCATTTTTATGATGGCCGCAGTGTCCCGGGGTCATGTGATCACCTTTTGCGACCTTCTGACAAGCAACGTCAGTGTCAAACCAGATTCACTTAACAACCATGTTACTAACTTATAACTGCAATTCACTTAACAACTGTGGCGAAAAAGATCGTAAAATGGGGCAAGACTCACTTAACAAATGTTTCGCCTAGCAACAGAAATTTTGGGCTCAATTGAGGTTGTGGACCACCTGTTGTGGACCACCTCAAGAGCCAAGGTGGCGCAGTGGTTAAATGCAGCACTGCAGGCTACTGCTAGATCAGCAGGTCAGCGGTTCAAATCTCACCAGCTCAGGGTTGACTCAGCCTTCCATCCTTCCGAGGTGGGTAAAATGAGGACCCAGATTGTTGGGGGCAATATGCTGACTCTNCAGAGCCCTCATCAGAGCCTTCCCCAGACTCCAGGACTGGCCCATGTTCCTTCCCAACCTCCTCACTGTCCGAATCTGCTGCCAGCTCTGCTGGTGGGCCACAAGATCAAGCAAGTAAATGTTCATGCCAGCTATGAAAAATTTGCAGCGTTTGGGGATTTCAGTGGTAATACCCTAACTTTAAGCCTTTCCAAGAACCTGGAAGCCAGAATTGCCTAATCCTGATGCTGAATTCTGAAAAAAACGATCAGGTCTTTCTCTTTGCTTCTTCCAGGCTTACTCTTGGCAATGCCTAACACTGCCACCTGGGCAAAGCCATTATACAGCCTACGGCATCCACTTATTATGATTCTCTCAATAAAGATGATTATTTTAATGGGGTTCCTCCCAAGAACGTAGTTTAGCCTGCCAACCGGGCATATCAATCTCTCTGTTGCTTAACTGGAACACATCACCATCTCTTTGCTTTCCTTTTAGTTTGCTCAGCCAATTTCTACAGGCCAGCAACTTCAACTGGCATTGGAATAATTTGTATACTCCCAGAGTATTCTGGGAATAGTGAACGGAAGGACACCATGAGCTGTACAGAAATTGGACTTCATCTCATCAGCTGAAGACAACAGGCAAGCAAATTATACTGCCTTATTTGTTTTCAGCACGTTGGACATTACGTTTTATTCCCTCCCTCAATATAGTCTACGAAAAGGAATATTACATGCTGATGTGGTGTTCTGTATGTTATACAGCTGTAAATGTTTGAAGGCACGTCTGACCATCCTTAGGTTCCTCAGAGAAGATGAAGAGTATTTGGACAAGATAGATTCCTGCCAAAGAACAACAAAGAATGAAGGAAGGCTGGTGGCATCCGTAACTCAGAGGACCAGGAAGTGGTTTCTTATTGCTGGAACTGGGCAATTCTTTTCATGTCATCCCTTTGGAGGTTGAGATACAGACTTCTAGAGAAGGGTTCACATTCAGCATTTCAGGAACAGCATATAAAGAAGCTCAGGCTTTCATGAAGAAAGCTAATGGGTGTTCTAAAGAGTAAAAGAAAGATGTGCCACTGATGTAACGAATGGAAACAGCAATCTGCAGATTAGACATGAGATGATTGGACACGTATTGTCTCCCAGGTTTGAAGGCATGAATATATTGGAGAAGCTGACCTGAGTAATCAAACCTAGTATGCCAATGGTTCTCAATATGTGGTCTGTGGACCCCTAGGGGCCACAATGTCATCACAGAGAGTCCATGAAGGCTTGAAGAAATGTATAATTTAAATCTTTGGGGTCCGTGGCCATGGTCCATGGCCACAAAAGATATTTCAAGGGGAGTTGTGGTGAAGAAATTGAGAAGCTACTGTACTATGCTATTCTCTTGTTTCAGATAGATGCAAGGTGGCGCAGTGGTTAAATGCAGCACTGCAGGCTACTGCTAGATCAGCAGGTCAGCGGTTCAAATCTCACCGGCTCAGGGGTGACTCAGCCT